AAAAAAAAAAAAAAAAAAAAAAAAAAAAAAAAAGAGACATGGAACTTACCCTTTTTTCCCCACAATGATTTAAATTCCATGGCATTTAAGACTGTACTCTGGAAGAAGAAGTGGATGTTTAGGAGGAAGGGAGGCAGCACTAGATGCAGCTCCCCAAGCACTCCCTACCAAACCTGCACCCAATTTAAGCCAGTGATGAGGGCTGAGCACACCTGGCCACTGATGCCAGGACCCACCATTGCTGGCACTACAGCCCACAGACTGAAGTCCCCAGAACTATCACTCAATATAAAATACTTCTGCCCTTGGAGAGTATCCCCAGGCAAACACCACGGTGAAGCATGGGCTGGCAGCAGGGAGACGTGGTGCTTGGCTTTGGATAGACCTGAAGGAAAAGGGAAAGCTGCACTACTCTGCATGCTACCCTGCTGGTGGGAGAAGCCCAGATTTACACCATGATGTGGCTTTCAAGGGGACAGAAATTCACAGAAAGGGTTGGGTGTGTGGAGGGCAATCTTCGGCCATCCCCTTTGGAAATGTACCTTTTCTATTTAATTTCCTGCAGAAATAAAATTACATCCTGCTCCTTAATGCCAAAGGTTGTATATCTCAGCTGTAAGTTAATCTTGCAAACTGGAGAACATCCCTCTGTCAACCGATTCACATCAGACCCTCAGCTTCCTCTTCATTCTTCTCTTTGCTGCCTACATCTGCACCTCCGTTGCTGCCTTCTCCTCCAGCCCACAGCTCACTGGGGCACGAGGCCTGGTTAGACAGCCACCCTGGCCTCTGCAGTGAGGAAGGCAGAGCCCAGCTGCTAAGTTTCTAAAGCACATCAGGCACAAAGCACATCAGAGGAGGAAGTGGGACCAGGGAAAAAGGGAAGCGTTTGATCTCCTCCTTTGGCTCGAGGAAATGATCATTTCCAGCATGTTAGATCCTACCTGTAGCCTCATCAGACCTCCTGCTCGTAGCTCCTCTTGTCATGTGGGGGAAGTCTCTATTATCTGAAGAGATTCCCCTTTGTTTGATGATGACAGGATGCGAGATGCTGCTGCTGACAGACTGGCACTTCAGAAGGCTGCTCTGCAGGCCAAACATGAGCAAGGGCTTGTAAGACCCCTCCCGGCAACTTTGAAGTACTAAAGTGAGGACCACCATGAGTGGAGAGGCTGCATCAGGGACGTGCTGTTTGAACAGTCCTATGGGGACCATGGGTACGCACAGAGGCAGATCAGTGGTTTGCGCTGGCCAATGGGAAGTCCTGACCTTGCTTATTTTATTTTTCCTTTTCTTATGCAAAACATTTGGAGCTGGCAGGAGTAGCCCAGCCCCAAGCTCTCTGCAGGTACGGCCTCCCCTCCAGAGTACCTGGCACACCTTACAGCCCGCTGCCAGGGAATGCATGACCTGAAGGCTTTTGCAAACTCCCACATCCCAGTTTATTGCTCTTGCTCCTGAGGCTACTGGAGAGAAGGAGATGGACTCCTTCTCTCCGAGTTTCCTGACCAAAGCCCAGGGGACCAGCAGTTCTGTTCGTGGTTGCACAAGATCTGTGCAGGTGCAATTCTTGACCCTGACAGCTGGGAACAGAAATGGTGACTCCTATCATCCAGCTTTGCTCTTAGATCAACAGCATTGCTTCAGATATCTCCCTGTGGCCCTAGGGCTTGCACGAGCTTTTTGACCTCAGTGCCCCAGTCTCCCTTCATGAGCACTGGGTGTTATTTACTCAATCGGAGCATACAGAGTAGCTCCTGTGAAGCCTGTGCACCCCTGTATTTGTCAGTGGTTGCCTTTTCGAGTTAAGGTTTCTGTGGAATCACACAAAGCCTTCCACATTAGGACTTCAGAGCAATTCACAAACCAGCTACTTTTTTCCGTACCACAGAGAAACTGAGTCACATAATCTTATTCTATTCACCATTGCATTACACTTAGGCTGGCCTAAGTCCGTTGACTTTGAGGGTCATTTTCTGCTTCCGCCAGAAGAAATTACACTCAGTCCCCAGAGGAAGGATGTGACTCCTAACAGTGATAGTATGAGCATGTCGGGATAGGACCCAGGAGTCCCATCACACAGCCTTGTACTTGAACCAAAAGAGCTACGACTTTCCCTCCTGGGATCTAAATAATAACATCCCTCAAAACAGCGTTTCTTCACTGATGAGCAGACAGCTCATGCTCCCCTTATTTGCCTCCAGGGAACCTTCTGAAAGCCCAAAGTGCCTCGAGTTAGTTGTTTAAGGACTGTGCTTAGGAGCCCTGTTTGTCCTGAGGGAAAATGAGGGCTTGTGCTCCTATATGAAGCTGGATTATGCCTTTTCTGCACTCTGTTATAGTCAGAGCATGTTGTACTTCAAGCCTAGCTCAGATAAGGTCCTTACTGAGCACAAAGAGCAGGATGTATGAAAGGCACCCACCCCACTGCTTCCCTGGGTCTGGGAAGGACTCGGGTTGCACAGCACATTCTAAATATTGAGTTATCCAGGAATACCAGAGTAAAATAAACCAGACTGATTCAATTAAAAGGGTGTTATTTTAATGTGAGTAATTTGGTTCCCAAGGTTTTGATCCAGTTAAATGAAGAATCATATTAATACCAGGGAGGTATTAATATTTCAATGGGAGGTACCTGCATGTTTTGGCACATAACTGGGGAGAAGGGCAGGGGAGTATGGTGGTGTACAGATGTTCATGTGTGCCCCATGCCTGGCAGCAGTGTGAGGACAGAGCTGTGAGCACGCTGCACTGCAGGTGAGAAAACGTAATTATCTTTTCTTCCTTTTTTTTTTTTTCTTACCCGTTTTTGCTTAAGGTTAAACAATGAAAAATTCCAGCACTAGAAGTAATGTAGGAGACCATTTGCATGATTTTAATTGCATAATTTAGGGTCAGGTCCTTTGCTCTGGTAAATCTGAGCATGCCTACTGAAGGCAATTTATTCACATCAGCTGAGGTTGTGGTCTCCTCAGGGTACATAAAGCAAAAAGAAAAGGCAATTCCTTCTGTCCCTGTGCAGGAATCTGCCACAACACTGCATTACTAGCACAGCTGGTGGTGTGAAGTTTGTCCTGGTCTAGCTGGAAAGGATGCTGCCTTTCCTTTGCACCTGGTCCCACGGTCAGAGACTGCTAAACTCTTGCCAGTGTCCCAAAAGCTACCACTGGATCCACACGCCTTTTCAAAGCCTCTCTTCTAGGCTTGCTTGTATGATAAACTCTAGTGCTAATGAATCTGGCTACAGGATAATAAAAGCAAAATAGATGTGGCTGCTACACACCACCTACCTACATACACACTGACCTTAAAAAGCACAGGACGCGCTTTACTCTCTGTAACCACTATGATGCAGAGCCTGCTCCTGCCATGTTAGGAGAGTTATGCAGAGATGAATATGGTCTTGCTGAGGTGAATGCTCCAGCATCCAGATGCACAATTACCAGCAGATGTATGGCTGCAGAGCCCAAGAGGGCGTGCAGTGTATTGACTATTAATCAAGTCCTGCTTTTAGGCCACAAACTGCATGTGGGTTTGGGAAAGACATATTTCAAAAAGCTTTACTTGCCTAAAATAATCTCCAGAAACAAGCCTAAGCCTTTTTTTTTCATTTCAAAAACCCATCTGTGCAAGCAAAACACTCTTCAGATTGTCAAACAGAAGGCCGGCAAGTCTCTCCCCCATCCCCTTTCCTCCTCTCACAAACACCGCAAACACCTCTGCTGGGCAACAGGGTGGAAAACCTGCCCTGCAGGTCTCCGCTGTTTCAGGCTGCTCTGACCAAGTGCCCGCCTGCTGCCAACAGAAGAGACCTTGCCACCACAACTAGGCGAGGCAACCGCCCTGGGATGCAACAGCGAGGCAGCTCTCACACGTTGCCTGTGGGACCTTCTCCAACAGGCACCAAACACGCAGGAGGAGACAGAACAGAAGGCACTGGGAGCAGAGGGGCAGCCGAACCCAGCCTGGCAATGACTTACATTCAGCTTTGGCACAGATGAGGCAGGCTGTGGTGCAGTTAAAGAAATTCAGGATTCCTGCCACAGCCACGCTGATATCGGTGTTGCTGGGGTGCAGGTTGAGGGTGGTGAACCGCTGGAGCTGCAGCTTCAGGAACTCCTCTGGTGCCACTTTGAAGTGAGGAACCTAAGTGGGGAGGAGGGGAAAGAAGACATAATTAAAGAGGAAAAAGAAATAAAAACAAGTAAATCTACCATAAAGGACTTTTGGTGTGAAATGCACAGCAGGCAGAAAGTGAAATATCCCAATAAAACTGCAGAAGCATCACCAGAGTGAAGAGAGGAGGGTGGGATTTGTGCAATAGCAGAGGAAAATAATTATCGTGGCAACAAGAAGCCACGGGAAGAAGTGGATCAGAAAAAGTCTTGCTGAGCCACTCAGAGAAAGGCAACGGGGGCTGTGATTACAGCACAGGAAACCATTCCGGATGAGTTCAACCTAATTAGCTTGGGCACTAATTGTAGCTGGGCCCACACTTCATTTTGGGCTTGCTTCCTGGGTGAATACGGAGGATGCTTTGCAGGCAGGCAGGGAGTTACACAGCCCGTGCTGGAGACCCTCAGACCTTTGCTGTGTGCTAGATGGATGAAGTGCTGCAAATCCACCTCTGCCTGCGGTACCGATGTGTCATCAGGTAATTAGGAGAGATGAAGAGAAGAACAAGATGACCCTGCGCTGGCAAGGCTCGGGAGAGAGAGGAACAGATGCAGCAGCCAGAAGCTTTGGGCTTTTTTGATCAGCAGAGAGGTAACAGGTGGCCATACGGCAGGCAAGCTCCAACAGGACCGTAACCACCAGTCCTAATAACGCTGTGCTTGTCATTAATATGGAGGAGCAGGAGATGGGAGTGGGATGCCGTTTCCCAGGGAATTTGGGGAAGGGGGAGCAGGGAAGGTGCATGGGGGGACAGCCCAAGGGCTCCCTCTGAGGCAGCTCTGCTGCACACCTGGCAGGTTCACGTAGATGGAACTGGTGGGCAAACAGATCAAGCTCGGACACTGGGGGTTCAGCCAAATAAGGAGAAGGAATATTGCATTCCTTTTGCTGAGTGAATTATTTGGAAGAAACAGAAGACAGAAAAAGGGAAACATCTGCTTAGGCTTCATTAGAGGAATGTCAAGTCCTCTTTTCCTCCATTATTAGTCCTTCTGGAAGGTAATATCCTGTGCCTCCCATCTCCCTCCTCTTGGGAAAGGCTATTAGTAGGTTGTGATGGCTGCTTTATTGACAGCATAAGCTGTTTGGTTAGCAATAGGAAAGTTAAAGAGTAATAAGCTGCTATCTGCCTTGATTTCACTCTGCAGCCCTGTTAACAGGGAGAGAAGCAGACTGTAAGGGAAAGGCAAATTCCTTTAACCAGAGCAGACAGGGCAGTGCCAGTACAAGCGTGCTGATTGCTGTTGGGAGCCAGATGGAACCTGAGACTTGCAGCAACAACTGCTAACAGAGAAGAGAGAGATGGAGACAGAGGTGAAGGCAGCCACTGGTTCAGAGCTCACCTTCAGTCCCAGAGCCCTCCTTTCCTTTCCAAGAGCTCTGCCCCAGTGAAACACCCCTCCCCAGACAGGAGGGAAGGAAATCTTTAGGCCAAAGGCACTAGAGGGGTAACACAGGAGACACAGACTCATCCCCCAGTTCACCACAGGTGAACATCAGGCCAGTCACTCCACTGTCTGGTGCCTTGGTGGTAAAACCGGGACACTCGCCTTTACCTGATGGACAGCTGTAAGTACAATGGCTCTGGCCAGGCTGCTGTATCACGTTTAACACAGCGGCACCAACTGATGCTACTGTGATATAAATCAGGTTTACATCACTAGGAGGGCAGCCGAGATCAAGTCTGAGAATCAAATACCTTAGAAGCACACTAGCACTCACTTTTCAATTGGGGGGGGGGGGGGGGGGTGGGGGAACCAACCTTAGATCAGAGACTCAGACTGAATATGAATTTCAGGGGAAAAACACTTGCAATCTGTTACTGCAGAGCTGCCTTTGCCTGGGATGGAGCACATGTCTGGGACATTTAACTGGAGAAAGCACTACAAAATACTCTCAAGAGACCCATCCTGCTGTAGCCCAAAGCACTAGGTCTAAAAGATCTCTTCCATCTCTTAAACACTTCTGATTCTCAGGGAACAAAGAACAGCAGTCATTTGTGAATGCAAGTTATTTACAGTGCTCAGTTCCAGGCACTCCCCTCCTTGGAGGCTGAGCTCCAGAGAGAGACCACTAAATGGCTGAGAGATGTTATCTGGCTTTAAAGGGATGAACTATGAGAAGAGAACTCAATTTCTTTTCCCCCGAGAGCAGAGCCAGATCAGTGTAAGATGGTTCAAGGCTTATAAAATATTAAATCAGGCACATAGTCTGGACACAGATAAAACAGTTTTGCATTGATGGAAGAGCAGCAAACAGAAAGGGGTGCAGCTTTCCAAGTATGTGCACAAAGTAATGCCACACCCAGGAACTTTGCCCGGGATGTGCATCTGCCAGGGCAAGCTGAGGTTTTTGCACCTCTCAGTCAGTGGGGACATGGTTTGCATCAGCGTTGCATGTGAAGGAAGCTGAAGTAAAAGGTGATACAGATGAAAACAAGGACAAGGGAGGCAGAAAAGAGAGAGGAAATGGAAAAGGAAGAAGCTGCAAGAATACGTGCATTAGGAGAAGGGGTGATATACCAAGCTGTTAACTCCACTCATTAGCGGCCATGGTGGAGCATAGGAAGGACAATATAGCAGGTAAGATGACTACAGCAAGTAATCTTTGCCAAGGATGTCCTGGAGTACCATAGGCAGGTACCTCACTGCCCCTGTCTAATGAAGGTAACATCCTGCTCTGCCTGGCAGCTGGGACATGAGGACAGAGTACACTGGGGATGATGAGGCACGTAGACATCAGCTGGAGAAGGTTTGGGGAGCACGGGTGGAAAGGAGTGGTGTGCATACACAGAAATGATGACTGAGAAACAGAGCACTGGACTTGAACAAGAAATGCAAAAGGCAGACCCAGGTGAGGGAGCAGGCAGCCTAAGGCAGAGCTGGAAGCTGCAGCAAGCTGTGCGGCTGTGGCTGGGACTTGGCATAGTCGCGAGAGTCTCAGAAAAAACTCCCCAAGGCTGCAGAAAGCCCTTCTGCATGGGATCTGCATAGAAGGCATTGCTGCTCGGTATAGTGGTAAATTAAAAACCTAATCCATACTTACTAAATCACCAGTAAAATGCCGTGTTCCCAGGGACCCTGGGCACCAGGCAGTGGGAAGCACTGCTGTGATCAGGGTCCACCGAGAGCATCTTCGGTTTGAAGGACAATGTGCAGAAGGCGGAGGCTGGGGAATGGGTCAGGATCTCTGTGGTGCCCCTTACCCATGGTGGGCAACTCCGCTCTCACCCCAGGCCTGCCCTGAACCACGGCGAGGAAGGAGCCACGGCTCCTGCGTTACCCTCCCAGCCCTGGGCAGCTGCCAAGTGCGATGGGTATTGGGGCCAAGTCAGTCAGCACAAGGGCATAGACTTACTACAACATGGGACATTTCCACTTACCTCTTTCTCCCCACAGATATTGCTGATAATAGAGCTCGAGGCTGGGCTTGAAGAAGGTCCCAGGACGCCTACCACTCCTTTTGGTAGAATCTGGCACACTGCGGGCACCAGAGAGAGGAAACATGCATTAGACTTCATCCTCAATTTCCAGCTGACTGTCATGCTTACAGTACCTGCTGCACCTTACTAAGGACATGGTATCATCTCCTTCACACAACATACTCTCTGCCATTTATGTCCCCCCAAAAGCCCTCTATTCCCTCTGAAGCACTGTCACCCTGCCTGGGATACCCTCCTCTGCCTTTCCCCAGCCTTTCTAAATCCCACCTGAACTCTCCCCAAAGCCCAGTTATCCTCATCTCTGGCTCAGAACTGGAGTCTCTCTCTTATAACATCCCTTTTTGGCCCCGCATGCTATTCTCCAAGATAAACCATTAACTAGAGTTTATGGAAGATGCTAAACACAGCAGTGACCTAGCTTCTGAGCATCATCTAGCAGCAAACAAACTTGTATGACTTTCTTCCCTCATCCTCTGCAGAGCTCAGTGGTAATAATAAGGATTGTATTACTGTTTTTCATTTGTAGTTGTTTGGTTTTTGGTTTTTTTTTTTTTTTTTCTGGCAGTAGTTAATCTTCTGGCTCCATGCCACCAAGGTTAGCAGAACAATAAAAAGACCCTGACAAAATGAAGAAGTTAAATCTCTTCTCTCGAGCTTCCTGGGTTAAACTGCAACCTTTTGTCCTTTCAATTCATGGCACAAATTTAGCTGAATGGCACTCCAAGGGCTACCCCAGCTGGTGTCACTTCCCTGCTGCCATCCCAATCAGCCACATCGCTCAGAAACACTCCTCCAGAGCAGCTTGCACAGACAAAGCCTTGCAAACAGAAGGCGAGAGCCCCTCGTGCCTGAATCCCCGGACTCCGAAAGGCTCATTCGAACATGTGCTGGCCATGGCTTATTCTGAAATACCAGACCTGCCTCAACATTGTCATGCACTCAGCTCCTTTATCCCCGGACAGACAAAGCGGCGTTTGCTCAACTGGCATCAAGCGACGGCTTTCTGAAGAAAGAGGATACCATGGGGGAGAAAGGAGGCACCGCAACTACTTATCAGTTCTGGCAAGAGCAAGCTCACAACATTTTCATATGTAAAAACTAAACCACCGTATCTCAAAGCTGCGATTTTAAAGATAGTGCCTCTTCAGTATCAAATGGCTGGTCGGTTTCAGAGCACCATCCTCACTGCAGGTCCCTGGCTTACATCTCAGAGAAGCTTTTGTGATGATTGTAAAACATTATCAAGATTCAGCGGCTGGAGAAAAGGACCTAGAAAATTTCAAACCAGAACATATTTTTTGTGGCAAAGAGAATTCATCATCAAAACCGTCATATTACATATCAGAGCAGGTTTTCTACTGACTTCAAGTCTTTAAATCAAGACTGGATGTGAAATGAGAGCCTATACTGCGCTTGGGGTTTTTTTAGAACAGCGAGCTATGGGGCCAAGTGTAGCATTCAGCAAGTGGACATCTACAGTACATTTTCTGCAGAAGATAAGATCAGCTAATCAAGGTGGTCATCTCTGGCCTTAGACTTCATAACCCTTCATAGCCTCAGGACTGGAATATGAGGCCAAAAGCTGAGGACAGTTTGTCACTTTGGGGAATTCGTTTTAGTTCTCTCCAAGTGATACTTGAAGGAAAAAACCCATATACTACTAGGTCCCTATACATACTGATTGCTCTGACTTCTTACAGAAAGTGCCAAAGCTATATGAACATCTTCTCTTGGGTTTTCCTTCCTTCCATGCTCTCTCACCCTTGACTATCTCAATCTGCTACAGAACAAGTGATATTTTTCTGCAGCATCTTCAAAGGAACCCAGCACTTGCTTTTCCTCTGTGCTTAAAAATTTACAGGCACTTACACCTCTTCAGAAGATCCTTTTAAATAAGAGCACTAGCAATTTGAAAACCCTGCATGCTATCTCAGCAGCACTCATCAGCCCCTCTCAGCTGCACCAGGCCCTTCGGGTTCTCTGCAATTCAGCATCTAGGAGGAAGGAGCTGCTCCAAGTCCTCTTTATCCTTAGGTCATTAGGACAAAAGTCCTGGGGTGAATTGTTGTGCATGCAGGGGAAAGTTCGGTGAGCACTTTTTTTCTCATCTCTGTTATTGAGAACAAAAAGTGGGTTAAGTAGTCATAGCAACAGAGTTGCAACAACTGGCAGAAGAAAAAGACCTGGCTTATCAGTCCGAGGGCAAAACATCCAGTAAAATTAAGGAAAATGAATGGGAACAAAGTGGAGGCGCCTGAGGCTAAGGTTTCGACCACGTTTGGAAAGCTGCTTCTCTTGTAATCCAAACACAGTTCCTATTGCAGAACATTACCTGATGCTGTTAGTTGCCACAGGGAGAAAAGGCTCAGCCCTGCTACCACTGCGGATTCAGACGAGCACTTGCAGGGATGCAGAAATGTTGGCCCCATACCAAAAGTTCATCCCAATAACTGCACGGACTATAACCACAGACACTGGCGTAGCCCCTGCCACTCAGGTCTCTTCATACTTCAACACGTGTGTGCCATGTAAGCTATGTGCGTGACACATTTTTGATTGCTGCAAACCCCGCTACCTCTGCCCAAGATCGTGTCCAATTTTTATGTTTTTTAGAATTCAGCACCTCAAGAAGTACCAGACATTGAAGTGACATCACGTGCATGTGAAAACCTCTTTATCATGAAATAAGACATGGGTACTACTGATCCACCATCCTTGACCTGAAGGCCTGAGATGTCCCGAACCTTCTATTCCAGCCATTTTTATGGACTGCCTGCACTCAGCTCTTCTAAGTTAACATCCTTGAGGACAGTAGGGCAGAAGAACAACAAGCTTGGCAAATAAATTTCTTAACAACACACTCTTAAAATACTTAAGACTTTGAAAAGGAAACATCCCAGGGTACACCCTTCTCTGCCAAGACTGGCACTGCTTTAGGCAGGACAGGATCCCTCCTGCCATCACTCAGGGATGATTCCTCGGAGGTGTGAGCTGATGATTGCTGCCTTTCTACTTGTACGTGGACCTCTCTGCCTCTACTGCTTGTGCAGCTCAGATGTCCCATTACGGTACCTCCATCTATGCAGTTATGGGCTTTGCCCAGAAGCTGGGAGTGGGGTCAGAGGCTCCTGTCCCCCTCCCAGCATAGGCTACAGTCTGGAGGTAGGAGGTGGCCCTCACGCAAGCTCAGGTGTGCGTTCAATGTGCAATGCAAAACGGTGACCCTCCTTTCATACTAGCAGGTCTGCCCCGCCAGGTAAGCAAGAAAGGGCTGTGTTCAATGGTTTCCACAAGTATATTTGGGAATTAAGTACAGGTCTGGACACTCAGGAAACAGCAAGACATGTTTTAAAGGAAGATGGAAATATGTACTTATTTTTGAACACGAAAAAGCACAACAACAAATGAGTAGCTCTCGCATTATATATGTTGTACATCCACTTATTCATGGTCAGATAGCGCCTTTCACCTCCTGGGATCTCAGTGCACTTGGCAAGCATTTCCATGAACTCTCCCTGTTCAAAGCACAGCTGAAAGCGCTCCAGTAAGAGCATCCACGCACAGTGCAGAACACAGCATCTCTTTCACTGCATACAGATACCTGATACAAGGGTTTCAAATGGCATGCAAAAAAGATTCCTGCCTCTAATTGAAAATAAATGAGCAGGGAAGGTATGCAATTACCTCAACATTTCTATGATTGCAAAACATATCAGAGGATCTTGAATGACAGGGACTGGTCAGGACGGGATTCTCATACAAAAACCACCAAGTGCATAAACAGACAGCGTTACAGAGAGTGCATCCTGCACCATGGCTCCAAGACTGCTCCTGCAGCATCCTTCATGCTTCTTAACAGGAACCCGCAAACAGAGCAGGCTTAAAGGTGAAATCCAACAGGATCACGAAAATGGCAGGATAGTTAATAGCACATTTGAGCCAAAGCCACTGACTGGACATATCAGGCACTTTGAAATATTGGTGTGAATAAATAAAAATTAATGATCCTCCAGTTGCTCCCTCACTCTGACTGCTGATCTGCCCTGAGATGTTTGGATTAACAACAGAAAGATGCTTAAAAGACTGATCAGATGATAGGGGACAGGGTGACAAGTAGAAAATCTGTCCCTCCCTGGACATCAAAAGGAATAAGGTGTTTTAGATGAAGACATGATTAAACAAGTCATTTTGGATCTCCATAAAAGGAGTTGAAACATCAAACACAAAGAGAGAACAGGCTTTACTTATAATGGCAAAAAAAAAGCTCTATCCATAACCTTTCACTGCAAACTCATTTCAAAACACAGGACGTTACGGATGTTGCATACAGGAACAGTCAATGTTTGTCTTCATTCATATATAAAGCTGAAATAGCAAATCATGCATGATTGTGATTAAGACTGACTCATATTTTACCTGCTATAGCAATTGTGACTTTGTGGCCCCCTAACAAGTAAGATGTCTGAGTCAGTCGAAAGGAAAAAAAAGAAAGAAAAATAGCTCAACACTAAAATAAAAACTAACTCTCAAGAAGCCTTTCTTCTCTTGAAGCACTAATTGTACACGGAATATCACTGATGGGGTGTAATCACAGCATTCCTAGATCAGTCAGCTAAGCATGCTAGCTGTGATATTTAAGGGTGATTCAAAGGGCGTGAAATTTGAGAACAGTATTAAACAGATGTATAACAGCTTTGCAGTCATAGGTTAAAACATCTAAACTGCTTTTATTGATATTATGTGTGATAACAAATATCAGTGCTGTATTAAAGCTGAGAAGTCAGACATTTGAAAGCCATGAAAGCCTTGAAATTTAAGTTAAAGGATCTGATTCTCCCCTGTTACCAGTATAAATCAAGAATAACTTCAGTGACATTAATAGCAGAGCCATGCAGAATCCAGATTTTTCCTTTTTGTAAGAAATGCTTCAACACATTTTTCCCTCTGAAGAAAAGGCAAATGACATATTGCAAAATTATGTGAATACTCACTTCACCAAAATCAAATCAGTTTGCTCCAATTTCTACTTTTTACATTCTATAAGTCAAAGTAAAGAAAACAAAGAAAATCACCCTGAGGTGAAAATTCGAAATGGAAGATTGCCTCTTCCTCACTTAGCCCATTTCCACGTTCTCCCCAAACACCACGTTTGCTGAAATCAACAATTTCTTGCATAATACTTCATTTTCAGCAAATTAGTATTCTTCTGCTTGAAAAGCATTGCAACAGAAAAATTTCTGAGCAGTGTTACAGGGGTGCAAGTGAGAAAGAAATCCCGCTCGCGATCTTTACCGCGGCTCTGGGGTCACTTGACAATCAAGCCTGTTTCTTGAGCAAAGTTAAATAACAGAAACACTGCTACATGCAGAAGATCTATGAGAAAGTAAAAAGAATGGAACTAAAAATGCTACTGGTTCTTCCAAAGACACAGAAGGCTCAGGCAAGCAAGAAATTTTCGCATTTCCTAGGAGGCTCACTGGGAGATCTGGGATACTTTCAGGGGCAAACTGAGAATGCACTTAGAAACACAGGCAGCCCCCATCCCTTCTGTGTAACCCAGCCAGTGAGACTGGATTTGCCCTATTGCTGTGCCAAATGAGGGTAAAGCAAGATGCGCGCAATCCTGAACAGATGGGAAAGACCAAGAAAAAGTTAAAAGAGATGAGGGATCCAAAAAGGTGGAGAACTGCTGTTTTAAACAGTCCTTGTGATGCTGCACGTGATGATCTTAATCTAGACTGCCTCATGGGTGACAGGCTCTATAAATAGACATACAGGTACTTGCTGAAATGCACTTTATTAACTGAATGCTTCTATAAATAATGCAAATGCTAATTCAGGAAATGAAGGAGTGATTTGCTGATCTCGCAGGCCTATTGAGCCCGTTCTGCCAGTTACCCAGAGACCTGCTCCTGAGCAGCGCTGGGCATGCGGCTCCACGGGGCCTCCCAGGCACAGGGATGCTCAGTGCTGCGCAGAGCACACACCAACTGTGTGTGAAAAACCAGCCCACTCTAGACCACAACATACTACCACACCTTTCTGGGATACCCTGAAGTTACACAGGCTTGGAACAGAGAACCATTGGGAAATGAGTCTAAAATCCCTATTATTTAAAATAATTTCTCCAGCTTTTTCAAGTCAACTTGTTAAAAAAAAATTATAGTCCTCCCTTGAACTCTAAAGGTCATCTTAAAAATTATTCTAAAGGGAAGCTATCCTATTCCAAAAGATTTTCCCTCTTACAGTAAGACGCTATTATAGATCTTTTTGGTTTCTTTCACTCAGGCTCCTGAGAGGTCTGTGGGACACTGACCATCAACTTCTTTTTTATTCATCAGCACAGGGGTGACATGTTGGGCATCCAGAGGAACAACTATGGCAGAGACCTGTTTGCATTAAGGGACTTTAAAGCAACGTGGGAAGTATACTGCTCGTTCAAAATTAGCTCTTTTTAGTCCACATGATTTCAAACATCACTTGAAAACTTTGTGTAAACAAATCCACTGCCAATTTCAAGCACTGGAAGAGCTATCATGTTTGCTGACACACAGTGTTCCATGGGGTTTTAAAAATAACTTAATTGCACTGAACTTGCCCAGAGTCTCTTATTTGCACACCATTAAGTACTTTACAAAGGAGCATCACCTCCTGTATCATTACTTCTGTTTATTGACACACAGATTAAAGAAAATAATTTGTCCCAAGCCGCTGAGCTGAATGGTGGCAGAGCTTATCGGGGACCCAGATCCTCTCAGTCCACGACAGGGCTCGCCTCACAACGCCATGCTAAACCCTCAAATGAAAACTGGTCTCAGCACTCGCCCTCCGAGCCTAACCTCCCCTTATGGGCCACTGTGCCCCTGCAGTGGATGCACCCAGGCAGGGCCAGCCCTTGCAAACGTGTGGCTGGTGCTGAACACAGCACGAGTGCTGCTAAAGGTCCCACACACCTCCCAAGGGGATGCTGCGCCCGCATCCAGACCGTGCCTAAGCCCTGCACCAAACCTGACTGCACTCAGGCAGCCAGGGCAGGCCTGGGGCTTTGCAGAGACCCACTTTCATGCTAGCACGTGTTGATCTTTCAAGTGTTGATAGAGAGTAGAGAGGTGCTTTTTACCCTGTGTACCCCGCTTGACTATCACACAATTACCCTCTCCGGCAAGTGCAGCGTGCCAGCCACCTCCTGCAAGCTGGCAGAGGGAAGAACTGGGGAAGGACCAGCTACACGGAGGGGTACTTACTGGTTTCTGCCGTCTCATACTCGCTGTCTCGCAGCAGCTCAAAAATGTCCACCTCCACTTTGGCTTTCCCCACCCGCTCGGGTGCACGGTTGATGCGGTTCTTGGCCAGGGTGATGGAGAGCCTCTCCCCTCTGCTGCACTCCATGGGGTCATCCAGGATGGCAGCTGTGGGAGCAAAGGTGTTGCCAGTGGTTAGGCATGGCAGGGACCTGGCCCAGCTCTGTGCACCCCCCCGCCCCCAGCACCCCTTTGGGATCTCCGCTGCCACGCGAGCAGCTGCTGCCTTGGCACTTCTGCTCCTGCCGCGGCTATTGTTAGCGCATCCTCCCTCCCACGTGCGGCCTTTCCCGCCGCTTCGCCCACCTCCCAGGTCTTGCCAGACACGTGGGCGGTGAAATCTCTGCAGCAGCGGCTGCGTTACCTGCCAGTGTGCTGTAACACGACACGGCCGCCTACACTGCTGGGGTCTTGGCAGTGCCCAGCACCCACTGCAGCACAGGCATCTGCTTGCTCGCCCTGGGTGCTCCTAGAGAGGGACATCCAGCTGTGCAGCCCCAAGCAGCCCGGATCCAGACACTGCCTCACATCCCAACAGAGGAAGAACGTCCCCAGATAGCCTCAGTTCATTTGTTTGAGAAAGCGTTGGTACGGTGCTGATAGCTGGAATATTTCAGGAAGCACGTGGGCAGCCGTGGGTGGGAAGGGACAAATATTTTTCAAACAGAAAGCACTTGACTCTTGAACTCAGCTCCTGGGCCTGCCCACTCAAATCTGTGTTAGGCAGAGGGAGATAGTGTGGGGTATTATTTTTATTTTCTTGACGGAAGGCAAAAAGAAATTGGAGTCGAGCATTAATCACAGCGTTTCATTATGACCTGGCACGACTTTGGCACCCCAGTGGGTTTATCCTTGCTAATAGGAGGTCTCCTCCCAGAATGCAACTATTCAGTCACATCTGAGGAAAAGCAGCGCTGGTTTTTGTTGTGTAAATTAGAAAGGCACCAATGCTTATCTTCCCTTCCCAAAAATCACTCCAAAGGGAGCGATGCCATTCAGAACTGCTCAGGTGTAGATGGAGTCGCAGATCAGCGCTGAATCAGGCCCCACACCATGTAGGTTAGCAAAGCAGGGATTAGTAGGCCTCTGCTGGTTTGTGTGTCAGGGAAACACGGAACTAACTACAGCAGCTATGTGCCTTGTTGAAGCTTTTAAACGTGTCACTGTGCTGCGACAGGTTTGGGTTCGGGTTTTTTTTAGCTAGGGAAAACCAGAGAGAAACACATAGATCAGCTGGCAGCTGAAGTAAAAGCACATCAGCTATAAACAGGAGGTATCCCGCCTCCCTAAGAGCAAGGGCTGGGAGCAGAGTCTAAGGATACACACATTTTGAAGACATAGCTAACTGGGACCACTGTTAAAGCAGCACAGTGATGCTGTGCTGTAGGTGTTCCTCAGAGGGCTGGTTTGTGCCTTGGTGGTCCTCATTGCTCCCCCAGTGCATGGGCACCAATCACCCTTCATTGCCACCAATGCACAGAGCCTCCCACACAGCCCAGCCCAGTGAAGAAACCTGTCTCGGGTTCAGGCTCCTTCTACTTTGCCTTTCCTGCCGCTGAGACTTGCTTTGAATCAACCCAAATCTCAAAGCACAGCTCAATTTCAACAACCACCTTGCATCGCATCTCAGGGCTCTTTTCTCAGCCTTGCTATGCTCATCCCAGTGCGATCTCTTCTCTCATGACAAAACTGCAGAGCATCTTTGCTTTCCGTTCCTGCCCGAACTCCAGCTGTGGAAGGTAACTAGATACCAAATCCACTGGTGAAGCAAAGGGGGTCTGTGCTAACCTGATTTACTTTGTATCCTGATGATATCCACTCAAAAACTCCTTCGCTTCCTACTTTTTCCCAGTTTTATGGGAGCTAAACTGAACTAAGTACTGATAAAGTAACACACAGCAATACTTCTTTCTATGATATGCACAGATGTCTGGGCGAACATTCCCAGTCCTTCAGGCGACACCATCTCCTATGCTCTGCTAACATGCAAGCACCATCATTATCTGCAAAGCTAGGGCAGTTAATCTTAATCTCATTATGCAAGAAAAAAGGTTGTGCTTTCCTCTAAGGCCAGGAGCATGGATCACAGGTTTTTTAATACATCGATATGGCTGGTGACTGCTCTTAATTACAAAGAAGCTGGGAGACTAAAGTGCCCCAACAAGCAGCTTACTCAACTCCCCACTTCTCTAGGAAAGCAGCAGGAGACAGAGAAGAAAGCCCTGAATGGGCCCCACTTTCTCATACACAAAACTGTTTGATGTGTGTAAACTTTTCACTATGGCCCTGTTTCCAGGAAAGGGTAAAGCAATGTACCGAATCTGATGAACATCACAAAATGCTTCTTCTGTTCCAGGTGCTGATATAGCAAAATTAAAGATCAGTGGTGGTGGAGTGTATGTCAGCGTTCTTAGATTCATTATTTTCTAATTTAAAGCTTCAAAATCACTAAATTGGACTTCCCCACAGTTGAGGGAGAAAAAAAAAACCAAACAAAAAATACAACAACAACAAAAAACCAACAAACCCTCTTCCCTACTCAGCTCTGACTGAATTTTAACTTTGCAGCCCACCTCAGGAGCAAATACATGAGGAAGGGGAAAGTGCCCACAGCAAGCGGCAAGTTTTGGAAAGGAAGGGAACACAGCCAGACAGCCTGAATCCCAGGATGGAGGTGGCGGTGGCACTCCTAGAGCCCAGCCACTGATCAAACCACATTGCCGCTTCTTATCTCCCTGCAGGGCGTGTGATAGAAAACCAGCAAAATTTGTTCACTTGCATTTTGGGAGACTAGCTAGTTTTACCAAATATTAAACCAGCCCCCAGAACAGACTAGGTAATAAGGCTGAACTAATCGTTATTTATTAAAGCTAGCGGATGAAAAAGGTAATTTAATGTTTAAAAAAGGTTGGTTTTAAAACTTCATGTCTTGGGACACAGTGCCAAAGCTCATCTAATAGTGGCATCATTAAGTATGAACGAAAATCTTTATAGAAATTCCCTTTCATCTATTCCTGTCTATTAAATATGGGAAGATGCATCAAGTAAATCTTTAATCCTGAAAACTTACAGCAGAGTCTTTGAACTTTGTTGGCCTTAAAAATCACTTCTATCTTCCCCATCATAATAAATGTCTCCAATCTAGACTGCCTTCTCTATGAATTATGAGAAAAATATTTCAGAGGGAGTCAGGAGCACCTGGGTCTGTGATGCCCGATTCAGGGCTGCTTAGGTTTTCAGAGCGACTGAGAGTCAAACAACTCCAAGTGAAGTCAGCAAGGACTGGCAGAGGCCGAACTCTTCTCAGGAAGAACTGGCTGGAAACATCTTTTCCCATGGGATGTTCCAATCTTAATAGATAAACATCCTTTATATAGTAATAATTCTTTTTTTATTCAATATGCCCAGGTTTTCCTTACACTTAACACAAACCCCACAAACCCAAGAGGCTACAAACCAGAAGAGTTTATCGCGTTGGATATGCATTTAAAATAGTTGGGTTACAGTTATTCAAGATTCAAGCAACAAGTGACTTCAATTGTAAATTTCCATCAAACACAAATTTCAAATGCAACACTCAAAGTTAACAACTTAACAGCAAAAACTAGAAAAAAGTTATTAATGGTAGCCAAAGAAATGCAAGATGACATGATGGTGCCCTCTGAGAAAAACAGATTTCAAGAACTTTCCTACAGGTCATCCTCATTTCAGTAATTTTCCAGCCCTCAGAGGCAGACAGACGTGATCGGGGGCAGGGAGGCAGGAGCACAGCCACAGCAGTATGAAAGCCAGATGCTCAAACTCTTCTGCCTTTTCTCCTCTTACCCTGGAGAAACTTCTCCAGGGGGAGGAAGGACATTCATTTCTCACCCCGAAAAATTCAGTCCTACTCCTTTTTGCCAAAACAGCGAATGGGGGGACATGCAGTGCTGTCAGCTTGTGTGCTTTCAGTGGTATAGACAGCTGTCTTCCTGGAGCCGGGCTGAGACACAGCCACTCATCCTACTAAGTGCACCAGCCAGTTTACAGACAACACTGAAATTTACTCCTTTCCACACTCAGTTGGGTTTCAACCAGTGCTAAAAAAGCAGAAAGCCTCCGTTTTCCCATTCCCCCAAGCCATGTGGCTCCCCAGAGTGCTACCCGCCACCAGCCAGATTCACAACATATGCACTCTGACAAGCCTAATACGACTGCAAGTTTTACTACATATCACTACTTAATTCATGATCCAACCAAGATCTAATGAAGTAGCATTTTTATAACAATAACAGGGAACAGATGTTACCGGGAGGATTATACACTGCTAGAATAAACAGTGTTCAGCTGACCTTTCCCTGTTAACTTCATTAAGTATTGTTACATTTTCTCAGACGCTTTTCATACCATTGAAATGTAAAGCCATACTCAGAAACACAATTGCCATCTCAAGTCCGGTGGCTTGAAGATGTAGATTTAGCAAAGCACTGGCTTAGTAAACATGATATTTCACTGTTTGTAACCTGTCCCTCCAAGTTAAAAAAGGTATAATGCCATCCACAGTATTTCTCAGGTGTCTCCTCTGACAGGTTCAGATCACACCTACAACCTCTTCTGATTTATACTGTAAACAGAGTCCTCAAATCCTCTATGTGCCCATGATGAATGGAATTTCAAATTACCAACTGTAACCTCAGTTCAACCAGATTTAGACATCTAGAAGATCCAATACCAACCACTGGAGCTGATCAGTCCTTAGTCTCAAAACGAGGATCCCTTTAGATCAAAGGCATACCTGAAAACCATACTGTTCTTCAAAGCACCAATGTCCTGCTCGGGAACACCAGCCTCAGGAGATGCCCTGGGATGTGGGGGAATCACCCCAGACCTCCACATCTCCCCTTCCTCCTGCTCCTTGCCCACCTGCCCTACCCTTATCATCAGAGACCCACCTGCAGCTGCTCTGGACTTCATTAACCCCAAACTAGCTCCAAAGCCACGAGGCTGCAGATTCATTTGAGGGGGCAGTTGATTAAAAATGGTTGCAGGGTCCCCTTATTTTGCACATTTCCCCTCTGCTGAATACAGTATCAACCCTTCGGGCTGTCAATACAGTAAAGGATAAGAAA